GAGAAGTGTGCTGCTGGTTAACCTCTTGGCCCCAATTAGAACGTTGTGGTTAACCGCAGACACCTCTTAATTATAACCAAATGCAGGGTGGTCGTCGTTCGTATGTCAACCACGAGGCGGCGGCCATTTTAAACCATGCGAAAGACCAGCGGTGTTCGACACAGATTCTATGGAACTAAAAGGGGGGAGGAAACCAGGATGCATTGTTGGAATATTTTGTGCCTGTATGTCTTAAAGGGCCATATGTCTGTCTACAATTACAGTCTCCCATTTGGTCCCCTAGGGGAGTGTCCACCAAGTGGGAGACCTGCATAAATACGGGCGGATAGTCCACAGTAAAGCCAGTTCTTGTTTTACCCTCAATGCGGAGCTTGGTCTCAGCGGTTGATGCCAGGGACCCAGATCTTGAGCAGTGTTAGGCGCCCCAAAATTTCTGATGGCCTGTTCATATTATTGGGTTCTGATTCAAATGGCAAATTATTATACCGTAGCTTGCTTATTGGGGGGATTTACTACACACAGTTAGCGACTGATTGCTGGACACGTAAGCCGCTTGGAGGATATATTTGTTCGGCTGTTAGCCGCAGTTCGTGGATTTATTGTTCGGGAGCTTGGAGCATTCGTACGGATCCCGTTCGGGAGATTGGCGCATTCCCCTGGTCGTACGGTTGAAGTATATACGAATGGAGCTTGCATTATTGCGAAAAGGGAAGCTTCACTAAATGGCGGTTTCACTCCTTTGTGCCAGGGGTGTCTTAACAGTGGATGTCCCAAGGCTTTCAAATACAACTCTATGGTTTTAACCAATTTTTTATGGCTAATCCATGTTTTTATGGCATATTGAGAGAATTTAATAGTTACGTTTGGCAAGATTATCTGAGGATGCTGCTTTTTACTCAAAAATGCAATTTATTAGTTTGAGTATCTGTGAGAAAAAAATGCACCAATCAAATTTGAGAAGTCCCATGAGAGAGCGCAGATACAATATATTCTATATTTATGTCATACCTTATACATCATCATTGCATATATCAGTACCGGAACATCTTGAGCTGTATGAAGCACGCAGTCTATACCTTCTACTTCCATCTTTAAATCAATTTAGAGTAATATGCAGCGGAATAAATTCTATATAACATTTTGGATACCTACAGACACAGGTATTTAACAGTAGAGTATACAGGAGAGCATGAGGAAAGACAGAGTTGGATCCGTTTATGTAATAAATGCAGATAAATTTGATTCAGGCAGCATATATACCAGATCAACTGGATAAGCCAGTTCAGAATTACGGGGATTAGAATAATCTGGTAACATAACCAAGTCATATCAGATTAGAATCTAAAAATCATTACTTAAACACTCGGGGAGAAGTTAATCGCAAAGAATAGAGAGAAGTCTGGCTTCTAACCCAGGAACAATGTTGTGTTGTGTGATAGATGTTGTGTCAATGGACAGCACAAGACAACAGATAGCAAAAAAAAAAAAGAATGTGGCGATGGTGGCATTCATGCTCGTAACTGTAGACGGCTAGTGGGTCTAACAATACTGGATTAAGATACCTGTCAAAAAAATAAATAAATAAATATTATTCAACTGTACTTTTGTTTGCAATGAACCTTTCATTTGTATTTTGTTTTACAAAACCAAAATTTAACCATCACGTCTTTTTATTCCTAGTTTCTTAAATCTGCTTTTTCAAGTTCAGCTTGAAACAGAAAAGAACAACATTGTTCTGTACTCTCTGGGTTAACCTAGTGATCTCTACAATTTTAGGGATTAATGCTTGTTTTATCCGGACATTAAGGTTTTTTTTCCAGTTAGAGGTGTGTACGTTGTTACACAATAAGCATTGTAAATGTTGACACTGAGAAATAAACTAATTACAGCCCGCAACATTAGATCTTCCCTACATGAGTAATGATTTAATCCTCTTTTGTAATTATATGGGAAGCGGACTTGGCCCAGGATTTTAATAAATAAAAAGTCATAAAATACTGAAATCATGATTGTAAGCCCCTCTTTGCAGCTTCTATTGCTTTTTTTTTTTTTTTTTTAAAGGGACACTCTTAGCACGAAAACAACATTTGTTTAATGAAGTAGTTTTGGTGTGTAGATCATGCCATTGTGGTTTTATTGCTCAATTATCTGCCATTTAGAAGTTAAATTACTTTGTTTATTTAGCCCTAGTCACATCTCCCCTGGCTGAGTTTCACACAGCCTCCTTATACACTTCCTGAAATACAAGCCTACATTTTTAGCTTTCCGTATTACACAGTGTATTTTATTTAAAATGTCTTTTTTTTTCCTGCTATGTTAATAGTCTGTTTGTGTCTATTCAGTGTGATTAAAGTTTAATTAACAAAGTATGATATATCAACTTCTAAAGTAAACACTGTGTGCTGTAAGATCTGATTGACAATGAAAACCATTTTTTCCATAGAGGTTGTGTCAGTCACAGCCAGGTGAGGTGTAGCACTCCAGACTCAAAACAGGATTTGTTAACCGTCTTAATCTTATGGTTTAACAATAGTGATGTCCCGAACGGTTCGCCGAATGGTTCGCCACGGATGGCGAACATAAACATAAACTTTGACCCTGTACCTCACAGTCAGCAGACACATTCCAGCCAATCTGCAGCAGACCCTCCCACCTCCTGGACAGCATCCATTTTACATTCATTGTGAAGCTGCATTCTTAGTGACCTGTCCAGGAGGTGGGAGGGTCTGGGAGGGAGGGTCTGCTGCTGACTGGCTGGAATGTGTCTGCTGACTGTGAGGTACAGGGTCAAAGTTTATGTTTATGTTCGCCATCCGTGGCAAACCGTTCGGCGAACCGTTCGACGAACCGTTCGGCGAACCGTTCGGGACATCACTATTTAACAAATTAAAGTGGAAATTCAAATACATGGTTTCTACATCATATTGTTGTTGTTGTTTCTGTTCTGGGACCTTCAGGATACATCCTCTCTTTTCTTTGTCAAACCATTTTCAAAAGGTTTGACAAAAATATAGAATTTCCCATTATTTCTAACTTCCTCGGTATCCATTGATATTTTAGGATGATTCTGTTATGCCTGAATGCATTTTAACTGGGCAAATTTGGTGTTAATACTTTTGGCATATTTTTTATTGACAATGGGTGACTGCAGCGATTTGGCACAGCCTAATCATTCTTTAGCACAAAAATTGTGATTTGCTGTGAATTCAAGGTGAATTTCAAACTTAAGCCAAAGTATCTGAATTGCAAAACTTTGCTTTGTTAATTTTGGCTATTTTGAGCTAAAACTTTAAATTTACTCTGAATGAACACAAACTCACACTTTAGCTTGATGAAGTTCTTTAGGGGGCCAATTGCATGTGCACCATACCCTAATTCATAAAAGCGCTAATTTCAAGGGAGCTGCATTTTTATGAATTAATTCAGGAATACACCTGTCAGTCAAGATGGAGAGCATCCTGATTCACTCTGCTTGAACAATCGAAGTGAGGGCTACCAGAGGAATGCAATAGCCTAATGCTTCCTTATGAAAATATTTTATTGGGTGGTCGTTGAAATCGCCACTCATTTGAGCCAGATAAGAAGGGAGAATGTTACCACTGACGTTCTCTAAGGGGTAGAGCAGAGCAGAGAGTAGGAATGAGAGAGGACTCATCACTGGAGGAAAAGGTGAGTAATCTTGATTTTTTTCATTGGGGATGTGTCTTACATGTAAAAGTGAATATCGATTTTATTTTTTATGACGTTGGAATGTTCCTCTGAAGCAATTCTTCAATGTTTTGACAAAAAAAAAAAGGTGGAATCTATAAAACACAATAAGTATTTTGGTGATAATGTTAAATATAATGGCTTATAAAACAGAAACAGTTTTGTCACGCATGGAGTGTCTCTTTCAAATAATCTGCTGTGTACATTTATTTTGTTTATTTTAGCTAATCATATTATCTCCTTTTTTGATGTTTTTCGCATACAAATGCCATTCTACGTTCAGATGCCTTAATCATCTGTCAAGTGTTAAGCTGCTATTGCATTGTTAGTTTATGAGAACGGATAAAATATGTCCAAACAATACTTTTGTTGAAAACACACACATCAGTTACAAAATGTAACCTAAAGCAACTGCCCAACCAACACTCATAGATATTCAGTTTAGTTGAACACAGATCTTGAATATTTAATGTATGAAACACGTTTAGTGATCATTAGAAAGTCTTCATATAGTTTTACTGGTCTCCCTTAAGGACAGCTTTGATCTTATCAACGTTCCTCTACAGCCAACTAATATGGATCCACTCTAGAAGATCTGCGATGATTGATTGAAGATATTGGATCCTTAGTTCGTTGCACTGAAGAAATAAATTAAATGACATTGATACCTTAAGCCAGCATTTCCCAATTGGTGTTCCGCAGTGAAATCGGAGTTCCGCAGTGATTTGCCCACCACGTGCCCATAAGGGCCATCCAATGGGCATTGCTGCAGAAGGACCCGGTCAGCGCCGCTGCCGATTAATTGAGCAACCGGGTCCCTGTAGTATGGGATGCTGGAAGGAAGTGACAGACGGTCATTTCCTCCCAGCTTTATATGGAAAACACTATGCTGGAGGGAGAGAGGCAGCAGCCAGTAGTGAGCAGCTCTCACCACACACACCAGCCGTAGTGTCAGGATCCTATCCGGACAACCAAGATATTGTTTTATTTTATTCTGTTTTCTTACTGCAATACCTGTTTTTCACCACTAGTCACCTCAGTCACTCTCACATGCATAGCATTATTCTGTTTTCTCTCTCTCTCTTTCCTATAATTTCTATTATAGGATACCCTGTTCATACTATGTCTACGATCACAAATAAAGTACATGAAGTCAACCCTGGGATAGGTCTCCTCTCTGACCTGCTCAGAATCATGACACTCAGCTAGCAAGTCACCCTCCTGCAGACAACAGGTACGTTAACAAGAGGGTGACTGCAAATAGAAAAAATGAAATGTGCTAAATTGAAGTCTGGAGTAAGCGATGGAAATCTGCAGTATTACCTGTATAATTGGAAATGTCCCAGAATGGGACCAAAGAAGGTGGGTCTGGTTCTACAATAAACCTTCCCTCCTATGCCTGAAGGGGTCAGGGATTGAAATGGTCTATCGTCTGCTCCCAATGCCAGAGATTGGACATTGGAGAAAGCAGCCCCAAGGAGCAGAGAACGGTTTCATAGGCTTAGCCAAGGAAAACACTGTACTGATGTATGCAGACGTATGGAAGCGCAAATCAGGGTTTTCTGTTAACTTGGCTTGAATTAAGGATTTTTTCAGGGAATGTTAGTTTGTAATTGAGTGTATGCGCCAGTGTGTGTATCTGAGTGTAAGTGTGTATCTTTCAGTGTGTGTGTGTATGTGCCAGTGCATGGGTGTATGTAGCATAGTGTGTTTGTATGTCACTGTGTGTATGTGTCACTGTGTGTATCTGAGTGTGTGTATCTGTGTGTATGTGCCAGTGTGTGTATATGTGGGTCACTTCGTGTATCTGAGTGTCAGTGTGTGTATCTTTCAGTGTATCTGTGTGTCGGTCTGCATGTATCTGTGTGTCAGTGTGTGTGTATGCGTCAATGTGTGTATCTGTGTGCCTGTGTGTGTGCCAGTATCTCATTGTGTCTTATCTATGTCAGTGTGTGTATCTGAGTGTCACTGTGTGTGTATATGTGTGTCAGTGGGCGTGTATCTGTGTGTCACTGTGTATTTAACTATCTGTATATTTGTGTGTATCTGCGCCAGTGTGTGTATCTGTGTGTCAAGATGTGTCAGTGTGTATCTTTGTGTCTATGTGTTTATGAATGTGTGTATATGTGAAGTGTGTTAATGTGTATGTATATCTGTTTAAGTATGTATGTGGCAGTGTGTGTGCATACATCCCAGCAATCCAACACCAACACAAAATGCAAACACACCCCTGCAAACACAAACATTACATACAAAAACACCCCTGAATTCAAACTCCAAAATTATATACAAACACACCCTTCACTCAAACACCAATACTACACACATGCATTTAAAAGCCAACACTACATCCAATCACACCCCTACACGCAAATGCAAACATTTCATACAAACACCAACTCTACATACAAAAGCACACCTGCTCCTAAGTGCTACAATCTGTTTACTACCTGTAGAAATAATTGTATATATACCAAAAAACAAAATTTGCAGAAAAAAAGAAAACATCACACTCCACTAATTAAAAGGTTTGTGTTACAGCGCATATTTCTTTTTTTGGAGGTGAGTTACATGATGTTGGTACACTATGTTAAAGGGTTCCACATGAAAAATTAATCGGGAACCCCTGCCTTGAGCTATGATATTACAACCATAATGCTGGCAAAGCTTCTGGGGAGATGTTGTCCACAATATCTTAAGTGCCAACCTTTGGCACTCCTGATCTTGTTGACTACATCTACCATAATGTCATAAAAGGGCAATATTTGTATTATATTTATGACTGACAGGGAGCGAAGATTAAGGTTTCTAGTTCCTAGATAGGTGTGTGGATTTTTGCATTTAATCGTATTTTTCTGACCTTGCAGAATCATATCAATTGAATATAGAAAAAAAACCTTTAAAAAACCCAAAAAGAATAAATAAAAAATAAAAAAAGATAACTTTAATCACACAGACTAATCACTAACACAGGTAGTCTTCACAGAAGATCCATGGATGGGCCTGTCAGAGCGGGTAGGATATTCCCAATGAATCCTATCACTTATGGTCTACCAGTCATTTTTATTGTTTAAAAACAATCCAGAACATGTGACCCCATACCTACTCTTTGGGTTTTTATTAATGTTATCCCTGACATTTCGGGTGGGGCTTGGAAATCCATGTTGGGTACAATTACAAAAAAAAATGAAAGTAGTAATCCTTTTAAGTCAACCTTTATTTTAAATTACAATAAAATAAATAAACTCTAAAAAAATACACTACGATAAACATTATCTATGTGCCAAGTTTCGTAAAATTTGTGTAGGTCCCCCTTGTGCTATGAAAACAGCTCTGGTGCGTTGAAGCATGGACTCCGTGAGATATTAGCAGAAGATCTTTTAAGCCCTTCAAGTTGTGAGGTAGGGCCTTCATGAATCGAATTTCTTGTTCCAGTACATCCAACAGATGCTCAATTGGATTGAGATCTGGGGAATTTGGAGGCCAAGACAACACCTTGAACTCTTTGTCATGCTCCTCAAACCATTCCTGAATAATTTTTGCAGTGTGGCAGGATGCCTTATCCTGCCTGTCTGTGTCTAAGCAATTGAATATGGAGCAAACTGGCAACTTGAGCGACAGTGGCTCTATGTGCATCAATGAGCCTTGGGCGCCCATGACCCTGACACCGGTTCACTGGTTGTCCTTCCTTGCACCACTTTTCATAGGTTAGGTACTGACCACTGCATACCTAGAACACCCCACAAAACTTGCCATTTTGGAGATGCTCTTATCCAGTCGTCCAGCCATAACTATTTGATTTTTGTCAAAGTCCCTCAGACCTCTTCACTTGCCCATTTTTCCTGCCTACAACACATGAAAAAGAACTGACTGTTCATTTGCTACCTAAAATACCCCACGACTTGACAAGTACCATTGTAATGATATAATCAATTTTAGTCATTTCACCTGTCAGTGGTTTTAAATTGTAGCTGATCAGTGTGTATGTGAGCAGATATCTATGTTGAGCATCTGTGTGTCTGTTTGCGTATGTGTTATTGTGTGTAGGCGCTAATGTGTGTGTGTTTAAGCATCTTATAGTGTGAACCCAAACTTGTTAGAGGTCTGTTCGTGTATGTGCGTCTTGCAACATATATGCAAACGTTTCACAGACTGTAACCACTACAGTGAGTTGTTGTGAATATGGTGCTTAGCATGTTCCTGTAACTTCTTCCTATTAAGGTACTGCACTTTGACAAAGTAATGTTCCTCAAATGTTAGACAAAACAGTTCTCATCTAACACTAAAAAGGACAGAAACTTAAGTTTTGGGTGTGTACAAAATTGCTTGGATCTGTCATCGTTGGATGAACATAACTATTCATTATGAGACAGGTAAGGACACTTCACTGTGCTTAACTGTGCTTAAAATGACAAACAGTCTACTCCAAGAACTGCTAATGTCTGTGAGATATTCATTTTAATCTCTAAAATGGTTTTCTGCTCATTAAAACAATACATTGCTTGCAGGGTTGCTATGATCTCCACAGACAATGTGTACTCTGCAGTTAATATGTCTAGTGCCAGCAGTGATTATGCTACTAAAGTACCAACATGGAGGATGAATTTATTTTAGGAAAATCGTGCAAAGCAGATTTGTTTGAATTAGTTTATAAATTGATTACTTAAGCTTTAGATAAGGGTTGGGCAGCGGATGTTGTTATATCTAGACTTTATTAATTTTTTGCACTGTGCTGTACAAAATGTGTTTAGAAATTGCACTAATTGAAATTGTAGATTGTGAAATGAATTTTAAAAACTGGCTAAAAGAAAGATGACCGAATGTTACCTTGATATGCGTCCCAACTGGTTCCGGACTGGCCATCAGGCAAACCGGGCAAAAGTCCAGTGGGCCTCGAAGGCCAATGGCCGAGGCCGACATGGGAGATCAAAGGATGTTATAGACAACAAACTAGGCAACAATGTGCAGTGTCAATAAAGGCCAGTTAAGTATATTTATGTATAAAAAGGGGCATCATTTTTCAGAATGAGAATTCTTGGTCACCTGTTCTAAAGAAGGATATCATGGCATTAGAAAAGGAATGGAATATTTTAGTTAGGAAGAAAGGTTAACACATTGAAATCAGTTTAGTTTAGAATAAAGGCACCTAGGAAGGGATGCACCCTTCCAGAGTAAGTAGTTTAAAAACAGTTTGACGAATTACCTGGGTCCTAATAAACATACAGACTTTAAATCTCTAATAAACACACACACTATAGCGCCTACAGACATACACACTCTACAGCTCCTAAACACACATAATCCCTACAGTCCTTAGATATGCGCGCACTTACGAACACTACAATCCATACATAGTACACAACAAAGGTCTGCGGTCTACAGTAACGAGTCCTGGGCCTGTTGCACAACACCAGTGAGGCTAGAAGATATGTTACTGTGGCTAAACCGTTACAGTAACAAAAGGGATGTGGCATTGCTGAGGTCCGGTTTCTTACATGGGTTTTTTATCTCTTTCCGGGACCGGAAAGGGAGTGGGGGTTGCATAATTTGAAGTCGGCATTGGAATTTCCTGGCGTGGTACAGGACATGTTCATGAAAAAGGTGCAGTTGGGTAGGATAACAGGTCCATTTTGGGATCCCCCTCTGGACTGTCTGCGGAAAGTACCGTATGATCCATAACCTAACTTACCCGCGGGGGTCATCAGTTAATGACAACATAGATAGAGAGCTGTTCTTTGTCTCCTACCCCTCATTTGATCAGGCGGTTGAGTTGGTTAGGAGCGCTGGGCGGCATGCCCTTATGACAAAGGTGGATGTGGAAGCGGCATTCCGACTGCTTCCGGTTCATCCGGATTGTCATCACTTGCTGGGTTGCAGTTTCGACGGGCAGTGCTTCGTGGACTTATGTCTCCCAATGGGGTGCTCTATTTCGTGCTCCTACTTCAAGAAGTTCAGCACTTTCTTGGAGTGGGTGGTATGGCAGGAAGCTGGGAGTCGATCTGTGGTTCACTACTTGGACGACTTTCTGTGCATGGGCCCTGGGGACTCATCGTCGTGCCTGCATCTGTTGCGTACCATTCAGTGGGTGGCCAAGTTGTTTGGAGTCCCTTTTTCGGTAGATAAGACAGAGGACCCCACGGACTGTATTTGCTTCCTGGGACTGGAAATTGATTCGGCGAGCGGCGAATGTCAGTTGCGGGGGAACAAGCTCGAGGGACTTCGAGTGGCGGTAGAGGAGGTTCATAAGGCCAGGAAGGTCATGCTTCGGGCATTGCAATCCTTGCTCGGCAAGCTCAGCTTTGCTTGCAGTGTGATCCCCACTGGGAGGGTTTTCAGTAAAGGGCTGGCTCAGGCTACGGCAGGGGTGCGGTCACTTCATCATTTTGTACCGGTGACTGTGGTCATGAGGGAGGATTTGGCGGTTCGGGACGCATTTCTGAGAGGCTTTAATGGCACTGTGTTGTTTCGGGAACCGGCGAAATCAGCGGCTTACCTGGAGCTGTTT